CCTCCCAAAAAAAAAAAAAAAAAAAACACATACAAAAGCTTGACCTACAAAATGAGGTATCTAGACTAGTCAACAAAGAGGCATTAAACTATTTTTTTATTTTTTTTCTAATTAGAACATTAAAATTTGCCCCTATTCTATTCATTCCATAAAAAATGTCTTTAGTAAATACAAAGGCAATAAAATTAGAGCACATTCTAATTAGCATCCATTCTTTTCTCACCACAGGGCCTTTTTTTCTTTTTTTTTTTTCACCACAAGCCCTAACCTATTAAATAAAATAGCGGTTGTTGCTCCCATAAATCCAAAGTTCATTTTTCAATCTGTCACACGAGAAAAAAATAAGCAATCAGACACAAATAAATTCAGTCACTGCTTTATCCTCCATGGATTAATTAGTTTGTACTATTATTGATCTTTACTGTTAAAAAAAAATCAAATTTTAATTATCTTTTTAATTTCAAAAGAAATGTGTTGATTATCTTTCTTGTGTGTCTATAGTTTTGTTCCTATTGAATAAATTATTTTGCTACATTAGATATTCGAATTTATTTGTTCCCCCACCCCCCAGTATAAAATCCTAACTCCGTCCCTGTTTACCGCTAAAGATGAAAATGAATTGTATTAGACAATGAGTAATTTAATAAGTTCTATGCTAACAAAGGAATATAGTTATGATTTATTTTATGAAAAATTATGGGTAGGTACATTATAAACTACTTATTTGTGGAAAATTTTCTTACTGAAAACATATTATAGATAAATACTCCTAGTTGGAAATGTTTTGTGTGTGAATACACATTGGCAGTTTTTAAAATATTCCCTTTACTGAAATACCATTTCTTATAATTTGGACTGTTTAGTTTGGCAATTCCTTTTTTCGTGGGATTTATTTTATTATATCAACGATTTCCTATTTTAATAGATTAGAATATTTGAATTTTAAACATATAGCATCTTCTTTTTCAACAGTTTGTGATCTTCTTCAACGTCTAGTATCTTTTTCCAACTTAAATGGTTGGTGATCTTCTTCTACTTCAACGAATTCATGGCCGGTGATCTTCTTTTACCTCAACCAATTCATCTTCTTCTTCACGTCAGAAATGGGTAGAATATAACATTAACACACTATTTTTTCTCTTTTTTTTCATGTTAATTAGTAGTAGTTGTATTTAAATCTAATAAAAACATTTGTTGTTGTGGTTATTTTTTTTTTTAACATGTGTTCATCTTCTCGTGAACATAGACCTCTTACCATGTTTATTTGTGTTGTTACATTGTGTTGTAACACTGTCATGCACTTAAAAATATTATGTCATGTCAAACTATATTAAGCACAAGATTTAGTTTGTGTAGGAATACATTTTTTGTGACAGTGCAACAAATAGAAAATTGTTAATTGTGTTGTTATACTGTGATGTAACATTGTCATGTCATACTGCTTCATATGAATCATTGTGTCCAACACACAATCAATTTATTCACGCACATGTGATGACATAATAGTATCAATATATATCAACATGGCAGATTTTTTTAAATTTCAAAATTCGTGTTTTAAGCGATATTTAATTGTTGAATTTAATGAGATTGATGCACGATTGTTGACTATTTTCAAATCAGTTATTGTGTAGGTTAGTATTACCTTGTAGGTATTTTTGTCATTCACGAAAATAATGGACCTATGTATAAAACATTTTTTATAAAGAATTTTTACACAATTAAGGGTTATATTGTGACAAGCCCAGATTTAACTAGGCTAGGCCCAATTAATGAGCTAGGCCCAAATCAACTGTAAGACAAGTCAAGCTCAATTCAAGAATTCAATCTAATCTAGAGTTCAAGGAGTTCAAAAGGATTAGAGCACGTGGAGAGTAATTATCAGGATACTCACTTTCGAAAATTAAGGCAACCTTTAATTGTACTTACCTTTTGTAGCTTCCTGAAAATCTAGTACCTTTATCCTCACGTCATTGTTTCAACTAAGGTTCTGTGCCTATAAATTGTAACATCTCTACACACCCCACAATAATTTTCTCTCTTCTAGCTATTGTATCCCTCCCAAGGGTAATCATTGGTCTCTCTCTCGTTCACCTTACTTAATCAATAAAAGGCCACCCGGCCACCGTTGTCATTTCTCGAAGTGCAGTAGACCACCCATACGAACCACTATATATTTGCGTGTTAACCCGATATTTACATTATTGTCATTGATTGCTTTATTAATTGTTTATTAATTACACTTTATCACACACTCGACTATTGATCTTATATAAGACCATTTTGTGCATCATCAATTTTGGCACCGTTTATAGGAAGGGATTAAGTTTTCTACTATCTTATTACTCTCTTTCAAATATATGGCAATCACGACCAGGTCGATCATTCAACAACCAGGGGACAACAATCCCGTCAACCTGGAGGAGGCTCCGTCTCCACCCGCACCCACAGTACCATTGACTGTGATGACTCTTGTGGTTTGGCAACAACTTTTACAAACCATGCAATTGCTAGTAAACCAAAATCAACAAATCATCCGCTTAATGCTTGCCCTGGGAGGCGTCGTCCCTCAGCCTGTAGAAGGAGTGTCATTCCATCCCGACTAGAGAAACATCGCAATCTCTCTACTCTGAGTGCCAAGTCGCCCCCCACTCTGGGGCCTAGCACAAGAACACCCTCGGGCAGCACTAGGGTGCCCCTCACACAAGAGTTTACACCGCCACGGGAGTCCCGGGAGTCTATAACGCTATAGGAGTCCTTGGGATCTACACCATCACGGGAGTCTTAGAAGTCTACACTGCCACAAGAGTCCCAAGAGTCTACACTGCCACAGGAGTCCCAAGAGTCTACAACGCCACGGTAGTCCCAGGAGTTTACACCACCATGAGAGTCCCAAGAGTCTACACCACCACAAGAATCCTAGGAGGAAGTATCACGTGTCCCTACACTTGCCTACTTAGTGCATAATGCCTCCACCCACCATGCGATCGCCTACTCAGTGCATAATACCTTCACTCACCATGAGGCAAGCCCAAACACTATCCCGAGAAAGCCCAACGTCTAGGTGA